CACGTCCTGGACTTCAATCACGGCTTTATCACTGACCAGCTGGATGGCCCAGGGCAAGTGACTTGACCTCTCTGAGTCTTAGTTTCCTCCTCTGTAAATATGGGAGCACCAGGAAGACCCACCTCACAGGGTTGTTGGGAGGAGCGGAGCTATTATAATGTGCCTAGCACATAGTGGGTGCTCAGGCAGGGGTAGCTATTACTCCAGAATAACCAGGACTGGAGTGAGTTCCCTGTACCACTCCATTCCGAGCTGGTTAGAACCTTCCTAGAGGAGTCTGACTTAAGAGCAATGGAAACAGGGAGGTTGGGGGATGGGACTTGGAGGTGGGGAAGGATCAGAAAATAAGAGCTACCGGGAAGTGAGGTTAAACTCACTGCACGAGCTTTCAAACGGGGGAGTTTCAGGGAGGCAGAGTCCCTCTCAATGTAAGGAAAACACTTTTGAAGGAAGGGCTGCCAGGAGGATGAGCTGTTAAGGGTGGCAGTGAGCTCCTTGTCAGCGAAAGTAATCAAGAAGAGGCTGAACAGCTCTTCTTGAGCTTCTTAAGGACACTCAGGTGGACTCCTACATTGAGTAAGTAGTGCTCCCAAACCATGCGTCAAAAAGCACATGAATGCGTATTAAAAATGTAGATGCCTGGCCCTGGAGCGAAGCCCAGAAATCTGTTTCCTCACAGCTGAGCCAGGTGATGCTTTGAGCCTGGATGGCGACATGATACTGGGAGCCATGGGGTAGCTGTGGGAATCGATCATCTCCCAGTTGCCAAGCTGGGAGCTGTGGCGTAGAGGTGGGAATCTATCAGTCATCTCCCAGCTCCCATACTGGTCTAAGAGGCGGGCATTCCAGGGGGAAGACAAGGCTTTGGGAGTGGCGCCACCACAAAGTTCTCCCTGGAGGGCTCTAGAGGATGGGCAGGGCTTCCATCTCCCCAGGCAGCCCTCAGGGAGGGACCGTAGCTGCTGGAGCCTGAGTGCCATCTGAGGGAGGTGTGAGCACTTCCCTTCTTTGGATTTAAGATCAGACCTACAGTGACCCTTCCAGGTAGTGGGGACTGCCCAAGGCCAGTTATGGGCAGCTGTCAGGGCTGACTGGTGCTCTCAGCTTCCCGTGTGGCCTTGAACAGCAGGAATGAACAGTTGGGGCATCTGCCATGGCAGGGTATTGCCATGCCAGCCTGTTGACGGCATGAGCTAAACAGGCACAGGGAAGAAGGCAGGCAGATCTCACATGGAAAAGCTAAACATCTCTGGAAAGGGGACTTCTGCACCAGGTGGCCAATTCCTGCCAATGCAAGGTGGTGCCTAGATTTCAGTTGCACTTTCTCCAGACTTCACATATGGGTGGTTGCCACTGAGCTGACGCAGACCAGTGAGAACCTTTTCCCCAGCAGAATTTTGTCTCTCCCTTTCCCTCTGTAGAATCTTACTGACTCTGCGTGCTCACCTTCCCTGCCACCTGGCGTTAGGGCACAGGTAGATGCTATTTGCTATCTTAGCGGTAGCTTGGGCTCCCGGGCTCCCCACTGCCCTCCTGCTGATCCACGAGGGAGGACACATTCGCCTCTGAAAACCCCGTGGCAGCTGCACGCTCATCCCTCTGCTCGGCAGGAAGAAGGTGGGAGCTGTTTGGGAGGGAGTGGGGAGGAGACTTGCCTTTTCAGCGAAGACCTGGTTGCCAGAGAGCTCGGTGAGGTGTAAGAATTCCAAGTGCAGGGATCCAAACTCCGCCAAGATGCTGCTGCTGCCGGCCGTGGCCCAGCCCCAGCTCCCGCTGAAAAGACAGAAGCAGCCCCCATCATCCCCCCGCTGGCCAGGCCGGCTCCTCTGCTGAGAGTAACGGCAGCTGCTCGGTGGGGGCACCTACTACGTGCCAGGCACGGAACCAGGAGCTTTTGCCGTACAATTCCAGTGAATCCTCCTGATGAGGACACTGAGATAAAGTAACTCACTGAAGCTCATTTGAACCCAGGCCTGACTTGGAATATTCTCTGTTCCATCATCAAGCAACCCCTGTAAGAGTTAGGAACTCGAGACCTGGTACAAGAGTTATGCTGAATTTACAGATGATGTGGTTAATGCCGTCGGGGACCACAAAGACCCCACAGAACACCCAGTTGCTGTCCTCTGGCTGAAGGCGCCGGATGGCTCACAACCACTGGTGGTTCTGCATGTGGAGGATAAACAGTGCTGTGGTTCGGGTGCAAATGGGGCCCATGAAAAGCAGTGCCCCGCCTAGCTCTTTCCCTCTCCCAGCACCCTGTCAGTGCTACCCACGGACACGAAACGGCCCCGGCCTGGAATTTCATGGAACCTACACGAGACAGGCAGGGAGTTCTGGTGTGACCACACATCTGGAGCTGTGTGCTTTCAAAGACAAAGAATGCAGAGGCTGGATCCTGGTTAATCCTCACAGCTGCCCCTTTTGCAAATGGGGTAAACAAGGCACAGGACAGTGATGTCCCCCGCCTGAGATCACACAGTAATTCGAAGAGCTGGGATCCAGCGCTGGCTCTGACGCCAGAGCCTGTGCTAACTGCTGTGCAGCTTGCTTCTCTTTTGATCACAGGATAGGGAACAAGGACACTGCCTTTCCAGGAGCATTCATTTACAGTCTCCCTGAGATCTGGAGCCAGAAGGTGCAGGTTCAAGTGTCACTCAGCTGGAGACCTCGGGCAAACCACTTAATCCTTGCTTGCCTCAGTGCCTGCCTCCGTAAGACACGGCAAAGGTGATGCCTCCATCTCCTAGGTTCATGCCTCCTCCTTCCTGGGCTTTTGTGGGGATAAAGAGGAAAAGAGGGTGCAGAATGGGGGTGGTTCTGGGCAAGCTGCTCCCCCTCCCTGCGCCTCAGTCTCCTCTATGTATCATGATTATCTTTCCTGTGGGACATTTAGGACAACTAGGGGCACACGGTCTCTGCAGGAAGGCTGTGGACAGAGGTGGGGCAGAGCAGGGTGGAGTGACGTCCTCCCATTTGTAGCGGCTCTGAGGTGCAGTTAGTGTGGGACAGGTTGAGGGACGGGCTCTGCCAGGGGCACTCTGCTTCCTTGCTGCTGGTCGCACTGCCCTCCCAGGAACTGGCCCGTCTGCCCCTCTGTCTCCATGGACGGACTTAGGAAGGCAGGCGTGGGGGTGTGGAGGTCACTGTTTGCCACTTGAGGGGTGCTGCTTTTCCTGGGGTAGGGCTGGGGCTCCCCTGATGCTGCTGTTCTCTCTTAACTCCGTTCTTGGGGCTGGATGTGGTTTCTGGGAAAGTAGGGACACTTACCAGCCTCCCAGCTTCTGGGAACAGATGGAGGACTCAGGTTTTGAGATCTTTGGGGTCAGGTGACCTCAACACATGTAGAGACAGCCACCCCCTTCATCCTGGCTTGGGGCAGGGGACAGTGGGGGAGGGATGGGTTGCACAGGAGGGGAAACTTGGCTCCTGATCTGAATAAACAAAAGAACTTCCATTTATTGAGCTGCTATAATGTGCCAGGCACTGGGGCAAGCAGTTTACATCATTACTTCATTGAAAGCCCATAACATAAAGCATCATTCATACCCCTATGCAAAGGAGGAAACTGAGGCTCACACAGGGAAGTGAAGTGTTTGAGGTCAGAGGCAGAAGATGATGGAGACAAGATTCAAACAGGTCTGCTGGGCCTCCCACCCTAAGACGGCCCTGCACTCACCCAGAGGGAAAGAGGGAGCTGCCATCTTGCCCCCTCTCTGTCCCTCTTCCCCCAAGGCTAGCTGAGACTTCTCTCTCCAGCTTGTGATCTCAGTGAGTCTCAGAGAGCTTCCTGAATAATTCATTCTTCCTGTATTCTCAGGGAAGTTTAAAGTAGGAAAAAGCCACCAGCCCTCCAGCTGTCTTTTGTTCTCATTTTCCTCCACGTGGGCCTCTCCTTCCTCTCTCCCACTCCCACACGCTCACCCTCCCGAGTGGGCTTCCTGTGGTGGAGACGCCCTGGCAGACAAGTGAGCCGGCCTGGGCAGAGGCGGGCAGGTGGCTGGGTGCCTTTCCTCTCCTGCCCAGCTTCCAATGCTGGCTTCTCCGAGTCCCAGCAAGGTGACCTCGGGCAGGTTGGTTAACTTCCCTAGAACTCAGTTTCCTCATCCCTTAAGTGACAGCACCCACACTTCATAGAGTTATTGTGAGGTATAAATTATGCATGTAAGTATTGTCATTTTTATCATTATGTAATTATGCACATGTAAATGTTGTTGTTACTAAGTTTCTAATCTGTGCTAGGTGGTTCTGGTGGTTCTTATTTTACCTTCACAACCAACTTCGGAGGTAGATACCATTATCTTTATTTCATAGAATGAGGGCGAGGCCACACAGTAAGTGGTAGAACTGAATCCAATTCCAAATCCTAGGTGTTCTGTGCCCCAAATGCATCTGCTCTGGGCAGCATCCCAGAGACCAGGAGGTCCTCTGCTCAGCCCTGTGAGCCAATGTGCCAGCAGGAAGCTCTGCCCTCCTCTCCCAGCCTTTCAAGTGCAAGTGGGCGCAGAGCCTGTGTGTTCTCTTTCCTGGCAGGAGGGGGCTGCTCCACAATGCCCCTCCCCACCCTGGCTATAGCTTCTAGGCAGGTACACTCATGAGTATGGTGTAATCATCAACTTTGGAGGCAGACAGACTGGGCTTCTAATTAAGTTTGCTTTGCTGCTGTGTGACCTCAGGTAAGTTACCTCACCTCTCTGAGCCTCAGTTTCTTTACTGGTAAAATGGAGTCCCTGTGGTTGCTGTAAGGTCGAAAAGACAATCCATGTCACGTGCTCACGTGATGCCTGACGCACAGTGACTTCTCACCAGACATTTGCGATTGTGAAGACATGTCTATTTGTGTGTGGCGGAAGCATGCACGTGTAAACGGATATTCGTTTGTGAATGTGTGTGCCTGTGTATGGATGCCAGCGTGTCTGCGACAAAGGCCAGCTTGTGTATCCGGGCCTTTATGATCTATAAGGGTGGCAGGAGAGTGTTTGCATGTGTGTGAGAGAGCATGAGTGAAAGAGACCGACTTGGCTGCAGAGATCCTTGCACGGGCCGTCGTCACTCTCCCAGGCAGTCCAGTGTCCCTGAAGGTCCCAGGTCAGGCTGGCCCTGCCTCAGTCTCCCAGGCTGGTCTGTGCAGACACCAGGGAGGAGGTGCAGCTCAAACCTGCTGGGGAATGGCCTCCCCTCAGGGTCCTTCCTACCCTGATGTGTAGGGCAGGGCTGGTTACCTACTCTCCTGGAGGGCCCACGTTCTTGCCCCTCCTGTCAGGGCTGCCCACAGTGAGCCCTGCCGGGGGCAGGTGCAACAACAGTAGCCCAGCTCCTGCCAGGAGGCCCCCTCTGAAGAGCAAACTCAGTGCCACATGGGCCCATACAGCCCTGCCACTCTCCGAGGCAGGCATTTTTAGCAACAGCCTCTCTTACCAAGAACAAAAAGGGGGATGTTGCCAGGAAATACACATGAACGCACATGGCATGGAGAACACACAAACAGCCTAAAAGCAAACGCACTTCCTTAATCAGAAATGTCAGGATTCGTGTCAGATCAGGTCCCTGCTCTGAGAGACCTAGGGAAGGGCTAGGGACAGAAGAGGAAAGGATGCCCCCAACGAGGTCCTACCCCAGACCCGGGGAGGGGGAGCCAGAGGACAGTGTGTGTGTGTCTGGGCTTCATGACAGCTGGCCGTGTCTCTCCAGGATCAGGGTTTATGGAAGAGGGATCTGAGCAGAGATCCAAGAGTCCAGCTCTGAGGAGTCAACCCTGGCATCGAGACTGGGATTTCTCCAGCCCCTGAGAGCACCCCCCTCCCTGGCCTATGGTGAGATTCCAGTGAGCTCACACCCTGGGAATTCTTCCCGACCACAGGGAGGACAGTTGATGAAGATGCTGAACATGCCAAGCCCTCTTTTTGCAAGACCAGAGAAAGGTGGTGAAGCCCTTGAGGCTGACATGAAGGGTGGAACCTCCCCAGGACAGTGACCGGAGCTACAGGTCCTCCAACCAGAGCCCAGGGCCCCTGCCTCTCCTCCTGGACAGCTGGCTGAAGCTTCTGTTGGGTTGAGAGCCCTGAGATAAGAAATCACTTCGGGAGATGGGATGGGAAGTCTGGTACGGTGGAACATCACAGCCTTCCTAGGGTCGGGGTTGTTGGAGGGCCTCGAGGATGGCCCCAGAGAGCTGCTGGGTGCCCAGGGATGTGGCTTCTAGTAAGTAGCTCCATGCAGCACAGGGACAGTGGCTAGGGCTCCTTGAGAGCTAGGCTCCTGTCCGGGAGGGCTGGGATCCTGAGATCTCCTAGCAGCTTCGGGGACCTCCTCACTGGGGGAGGAGGAGGGTGTGATGTGCCTGCTGGCTCTGGAACCCCAATGGGGGAAGAGAGTGTTTGGGGCCACTGTGGAGGGCTCTTAAGACAGCACTGTGGGATGTCCAGAGGAACTGCCCCTGCCCACCCCAGGAGGTTCAGGCTTATGTGGACTAAACCCTGAGACCCAGGTTTGGTGACAAACACCTGTCCAGGAAAGTCGTTGGCACTTTTACTGTGCCACTGACTCACTGTGGCTCCCAAGGCAGGTATGGTCCTCTCCCTGAGCCTCAGTTTCTACATCATAAAAGAACGAGCTTGACAAAGGTGGTTCCAAGGGTCCTCCCTCCTGCTTGCCTGCCCACTGCCCCTGGAGCCTCCTCACCAGCCCCACCCAGAGAAGACATACAAGCGGCGGGCATGGTCGCAGCAAAGCCCCAGTGGGGAACGAGATGGCGTCCTACCTTTTGAAGCTCACCACGCCCTTTGGGATTCCTGTGGGGGTGTTGAACGCCGGCAGGAGCTTCTCTCCCAGCCTGATGGCCTTTATTCGGAACACCTGTAAAGGAAGGGGGTCAAAGGGCTTTCGACTCCAGGCTGGGTGAGGGAAGATCAACCCCAGAACTGCTGCAGGCAGGATGAACCACCCAGGGCTGCAGGCCTAGAGTGGGCGGCAGTGCTGCAGCCCACCAGCCCGGCCCTTCCAACTGCTGGCCACGTGGACTTGGGCAAGGTACTTCTGAGCCTCAGCTTTTGTCCATAAAATAGGATAATATTGGCCTTCTTACAGAGTTGTTGGGAGAAATGAAAATTAGATAATTGTGGCAAAGCATCTACCACAGTGTCAGGACTCTGGTGGCAAAGGCTGGATGCTGCTCATTGGGACGGGGCGGCTACTGGGAAGATGAGGGAGAAAGCAGTGAGGTGCCGGGGGTGGGGGGCACCTCCAAGTCCAGATGAAGACCTGGCAGAAACGGGCCGGTCTCCAAAGGTCCGTGCCTGCCCACACTGCAGGACGATACCACAGGCAGAGGGCATGGGAACGGGTAGTGCCATTCGGACAGACTGTCAAGAGCACTGGACTGGGAGCCAAGACCACCCTCAGGTTCCAGAGACCACTTCCTCCTGGGCGACAGTTTCCCTCTTCCTGCATAACAGCAGTGGACAGGCCTGTCCCACTTTGACATCCTGATCCTGCCCACCATTCCTATTTCACAGACGGGGAATGAAGGGAGAGGGTGAGTAGCTTATCCTCAACCACCCACAGGATAGCAAGGGAGCCACAGGGAGATCCCAGGCGTCACGGCCCCTGCCTGAGGCTCGGACCCCTTCAAACTGTTCTGAGATGTCTGATTAATTCAAAAGGACCTGTGACCTTCTGACCCAGCCGTTTCCTGCCTGGGAATTTATTCTGAAGAAATAATCGAGAATGTTGTAAAGATTTATTTATGGCCGGGCGCGGTGGCTCAAGTCTGTAATCCCAGCACTTTGGGAGGCTGAGACGGGCGGATCACGAGGTCAGGAGATCGAGATCATCCTGGCTCACACGGTGAAACCCCATTTCTACTAAAAAAAATACAAAAAACCAGCCGGGCGAGGTGGCAGGCGCCTGTAGTCCCAGCTACTCGGGAGGCTGAGGCAGGAGAATGGCATGAACCTGGGAGGCGGAGCTTGCAGTGAGCTGAGATCCGGCCACAGCACTCCAGACTGGGTGACAGAGCAAGGCTCCGTCTCAAAAAAAAAAAAAAAAAAAAAAAAAAGACTTATTTACTCCAGCACTGTTTAGAATAATGGGAAAAACTGGAAGTGTTCTAAATATCAAACAATAGGAAAGTGGTTAGATAATGGCTCCATGCAACAAAATCACATGCAGCTATTGAAACGATGCTGTGGGCTGGGCGCGGTGGCTCACACCTGTAATCCCAGCACTTTGGGAGGCCGAGGTGAGCGGATCACCTGAGGTCAGGAGTTGAGACCAGCCTGGCCAACATGGAGAAACCCCATCTCTACTAAAAATACAAAAAATAGCCGGGCGTGGTGGCAGGCGCCTGTAATCCCAGCTACTCGGGAGGCTGAGGCAGGAGAATCACCTGAACCTGGGAAGCAGAAGTTCCAGTGAGCTCATCTCAAAAATAAATAAAATAAAATAAAATAAAATGCTGCTGTAGACGAATATTAACAGCAAAGAAAGGGTTTATAATCTATTAAGAGAAATACATTTCAAAACGGAGTAATTCAACTTTGGTAAAGATCCCGTGGACGTGGAAGAAAGGAAAGAAATATAACAAAATATTAATAATGGCCTTCTAGGGGGTTAAGTGTATGGATCATTTTTATTTTCTTTTGGCTCATCTCTATTTCCTCTGTGATTTTCATAATAAAAGAACAGCCACAATAAATGTTATTTATTTTTAAAAGATGAGACACAAGCCCCTAGGAAACCACTCAGAGTGGGGAATACACAGGTCTTTTCACTTCTGGAGCTTGAGGGGGCCCAGTTTGCTGACCTCCTGTGGTCCTTGCAAAACAAAGCCTTCTTGAGTCCTGCCCCGGCTCCCCGACAATTAGAAATTGCCGAGGCAGCTGTGTAGGGAATGCAGTGGGAGGGGAATTTCAGGACACTTTAAAAGGGATGTGGACTTGAGGTCTCTGAGGTGGGGGTGGTTTTCTTCTCGTGGGAGGGAGGGGCTGCGCTGCGTCTGGCAGTGATGGGTCAGAGAAGATGAGAATGTCTAGTGCCAGACAGAGGGGCCCAGAAGCGGGCACAGGGACCAGCCCCAGCAGATCCCTTGGGGAGCTGGTCTAGGATTCAGATTCCAAAGCCCAGAATGACAGACAGATCTGCTCTCTGGGATTCTGGTGCACAGCCAGGCTTAGTAACAACAAAGGGCTCTCAAGGCCCTTGGTCGCACTGAGGCTCTTTATCTCTTCATTTGCCCCCAGGGAGGCTGCCCAAGGTGAACAAAGGAACCCACCAGAACCACAGCCCAGATGCTGAGGCTCCACGCAGCCGTCTGGCTGCCCTCAGCCCTGGGGATGCTGAACTAACACTTCTTAGATGCTCCTCTCTGCCAGCAAACCACATCCCCTCCTCTGAAGGCCCTGCTGCTGGCTGGCACTGCAGGTCTCAGCTGTCCCCGGAAGGATGCTGAGTGAATGTGTGCGGACAGGCGTGCCCGGCCTCAGCCCTTGCAACAGCCTGTGGGGAAGGCGCTGACCCACTGTGAGGATGAGGAAACTGAGTCTCAGAGGAGCAACTTGCCCAAGGTTGTGGAGCTGTTAAGGGGCTCTTTTCCAGAACACCAAGCTATCTCTCCAACGCAGAGATACAGCCTAGTGGCCACAGTTCCAGAACAGGGGTGAGAGAAACCAGTAGGAATTGCATTCTGTGAGGTGGGAAGGGCGCAGGGCTGGGAGTCAGGGCCCAAGTGCAGATCCTTCCACTTCGCAGCTGTGTGGCTATAGTGCGCCCCTTAGAATAGTGGGAAAAACTGGAAGTGTTCTAAATATCAAACAATAGGAAAGTGGTTAGATAATGGCTCCATGCAACAAAATACCATGCAGCTATTGAAACGATGCTGTAGGCCAGGCGCGGTGGCTCATGCCTACAATCCCAGCATTTTGGGAGGCTGAGGTGGGTGGATCACCTGAGGTCAGGAGTTCGAGACCATCCTGGCCAACAAAGTGAAACCCCGTCTCTACTAAAAATACAAAAATAGCCAGGTGGAGGAGAAGGGAGGGGGAAGGAAACCTCACTGCACCTTGGTTTCCTCATCCGCACAACACAATGGTGGCACGTGCCCCGCTGCTGCAGGGGTCTTTGTGGAAATCAAATGAGAGGATGCAGAGAAATGAATGTGCTTTGTAAACTATGAAGTGCTGTGCCAACACCACGTGTGCAGCTGTGGTTATGCAAGTTATTCCCATGGGCACTGGCTCTCGGTAGGACTGGCCTACCTAGCAGGGGGTCTCCCTCTGAAGCTTCATCTTAAGCAAAGAAAGGCCTCAGCCTAGAAAAGTGTGGGGTCTCCTTCACCCTTCATTCCACAAACCTTTGTGGGAAATTTTAAGAATGGAAAGATCCACCCAACAGGCACCCACTGCATGTGAGCTCAAGGACTAAGGGAAGAGGGAGGCCTCAGTCTAGTGTGGCTGAGCCCGGGTGACAAGCAGTGATGCCATGCCAGGCTGTGATCCAGGCCCATAGCACAAAGGCCACAGGGTCAGGAGTCAGGGCCAACACAGCCCTCAGAGACTGTGCGACCCAGAGCCAGTTACTGCTTCTAAGTCTCAGTTTCCTCATCTGCAAATTGGTGATAACATGCACCTGACGGGGCCATCCGAGGCTCCAGTGAGAAAGCACATGAGGAACACAGCATGGCATCTGGTTCAGGGAGGTGTTCGGGGGACAAATCAGTAAGGTGTGGCCAGATGGCAGGTGCTGCACTGACTGGCACAGGAGCCTGCCTGGCCACCCAAGGGTTCTGGCCACGTTGGCGTCTCCTTGAGCCTTTTGAGCTGTTTTTCAAGTCACAGGTGCTCCTGTCCACACCCCACTATCTGGTCTATGTTCTGGAAAGCTGAGCTGCTGGTGCCTTCTAGGAAGTTGAGGCCTCAAAGCAAGTTCTCAGAACCACAGATGCCCTTGAAGAGGGAAGGGAGGAAGGGAAGAAAAATGGCAGGGAAGATGCATGATGGATGGAAGGAGAAAAGGACAGAAGAAAAGATGGATGGAAGGAGAAGGAAAGAAGACAAGACAGAAGGAAAGATAAATGGAAGGAAGGATGGAAGGAAAGGTAAACGAAGGGAAGGAAGGATGGAAGGAAAGATGGATGGAAGGAAGGACAGAAGGAAAGATGAACAAAGGAAAGGAAAAATGGAAGGAAAGATAGATGGAAGGAAGGAAAAATAGATGGAAGGAAAGATGAATGGAAGGATGGAAGAAAAGATGGATAGAAGGATGGAAGGAAAGATGGATGGAAAGTGGGGAGGGAAGGGAGGAAAGATGGACAGAAAGAAGGAAGAACGGAAGGAAAGATGGACGGTAGGGAGGAAAGATGGATGGAAGAGAGGGAAGGAAGGAAGAGGCAATGTGTCTCAACAGCCATCAACTCTTTCCTGAATTGCTCACCCCCAAACCGCCCCGGGAGTCCTCAGTTGTGTCCTCCCCTCTTCCTTCCTGCAGGCCATCTCCATTGACCACGGCCAAGCAAGGAGGCTGGGCACATGCCTTGAAGAACATGGATGTTTTTCTGCTCCTTCTGTCATTTTCCTGTCCTGGAGTTTTCAAATGAAATTCAGGCATCGGGTGGCTCAAAGCCGAGGGCTTCCATCTGCAATTATTTGGGGACAAATTGGTACAAGCGCTAATCTCTGTTGAGGAGATTATGCTCGATGGAGAGAGGCCTGGAGCAACTGCAGAGATAAGGCGCCCACCTGTTGCCTCGAAACCCTTGACTTCAGCCCCTGGCACCTTCACAGATGAAGGAAAGTGGAAATGACTTTCCAGACAGCAGTGGTGGAGGTGAAGAGGGATTATTCTGTGGCTTGCCCGCCTCACCTCTATGGCTTCTTGAGTGGCGGGGGGGCAGGCATCATTATTTGTCTCTGGGTGGTCAGAGCAGTGGGGCGTCCAGCCTCACGGCAGCCCATCTGAGTAATGGGGAACAGAACTGACCAATGACTGATGTTTTGGGGACTCAGCCAACCTCGCCACCAGATATCTGGGCTGTGCTTTCACTGGAGCTCAGGATGGGGGATGAAGAAGCCTCCCATTTCTATAGAGCTCTGTGGTTTTCAAAATTCTCTTGCAGGGAGGAGAATATGGACTTTGGAGCCGTCAGCCTTGGGGCCCCACACTTTTCTTCCTATCCCATGTCCTAAGAGCTCTTTGAGCGAAGGGGTATCAGAACCATCCATGCTGGGGAAGGAGGTGAGGCCCAGGGTGGGACAAGGAGCTCGCTAAGCCCATGAGTAGGTGAGGGTGGTGTGGAGTGAGGGCCAGGTTTCCTGACTGCACCAACTCTGCCTTCCTGCAGTGTGCACTTCCCAGCCCTCCTTGTGGAAGCCAACACAGCTCACCTGGGGGCAAGGCCTGACACTCGCAGATACAGCAGTGGCTGCCCCACCTCACCTGCTGCCCCGTGAGACCTGGAGCAGGTGTCTGGCTGGTGGTTGGCCCAGGAGGGGAGGGCAAGGGGTGGCTGTGGAGGACAAGGCCTGGGGGTCTTGGTCTTGGCTTTATCAGTCCTGAGAACAAACACCCGCGAAAAGCAGCCCACGTGTCTGCTGGATGCTGAGTGGGATCCAAGCGGATGCTGTGTGGACCCAGCTGCTGCTCTCAGAGAACGTACAAGCACCCGTGGGAGCCAGCTGGGCTCACCTGGGCAGCAGAATGGGGGCATCAGAGTAAAGGAGGAAGAGCCGTTCCCCTCTTGCTGCCGCTGCTTTGTGTGATAGATTCAGCCTTGGGGGGCTGTCCGGGGTGGGAGCAACATGCCCACCATAAGCAATGACTGATTAAGCAGGGAGGGGAGGGATGGTCGGAGGGAAAACAGGCCCTCAGGGGCGGACTTGGGCGGCCCCAGGCCCATCCCTGTCCCCTGAAGTCTCTTTCCCCATGGGTGGCCTGAGGGGGAAGGACTGGATGTTCTCCAAAGCCCTTTCCAGCCTGGACAGTCCAGGGGTCGTGAAGGGCCAACCCACCTCTTCTCCCGTCAGGTAGAAGGCTGAGAGGAGTCCCCCGATGTAGCGAATGTTCACCTCAAACAAGGATGCTTCTCCGCTCTGCAGGACAGAAAGGAGGGGGACAGTGGGGACACTTGTAAGATGCAGACCCTTGAGACAGGTCACCCTGGCCACTGATACTCCTCCCGTACCTGTGCCCGGCTCTGGTGAGCCAGGCAAGGTGGTGGTGGTTTTCATAACAAAAGTTGAGAGGAATCAGCACCTGCCTGGCAGAGCTCCTGCAATTTCCAGCATTCCAAATAAATGCTGGGCTTGGTTTCCTTCCCCAGCCCTTGCCAAGGCGATGGCAGCAAAGTGATGCCTGGCTGTGCTCCAAGGAGCGCCAGAACCTGCCTGGAGAGCTGCTGGCTGGAGCTTAGACTGAGGGCAGGCGAAGCCCGCTCTGGTCAGGCTACTTCTCCTTCCCAGGGAGACCCCAGGGCTTAGCAGGAAGACAGCGAGGCCCTTCCCTGGTTCTCTGAGGAGGCTGTGGGGCAGACAGGGACAGGCTGGGGCTAAGAAGGAGGGGCCTGGCAGCTGCGTATTCAGTGAGCAGCAGTTTCTTGGGCCCTCAGCTCAGAGCGCACAGGGCATGCCCATACTTGCCTTAATCATTTCTATTTTCTTTCCTAAGTTGGGATTGCAAATCAGGGGTGCTGGAGCATCACGCCAGGACCAGATCTGGGGTAAATCCCACCTGAGCCACGGACCTGGCTTTGGCACCTCAGGAAAGATGTGCAGCCCTTCCCTGCCCCATTTCCTCAGCTGCAGAAAAGGGCTGCCAACCCCTCCCATGCAGGGTGGAGATGGGACACAGGGGCGCTGCAGAGAGAGGCCTGCCCATAGCCGGACATGCCTGTTGTCACCCTCCTTGCCCCGGAGGGTTCCCCCAGCATGCTTTGAACACCACTGTCTTTATCACTGAGAACAGCAGTGCTCATCTGTTAACCTGGGGGAACTCTTCCACCCACAGAGCACCTGCAAAACCGCTCCCTTTCAGCCTCCCAGGGCTCAGTGAGGTCAGAGTGTGGCAAGGGTCATCATTCCCACTTCTCAGATGAGAAAGTCAAGGTTCGAGGTCGAGTGACCCCACCTTGCTTTCTTCCAGGGACATTTCCTCGCCTCCCCCACCTGCCTGAGTGTTCCCCGGTTCCTAGGGCACTGTGGGTGGCTGCCTGAGCCCATTCTGTATCCCAAAGAGCCACTGTCTACACAGGGGACAAGGAAGGCCTAGGGGGACACTCCTTCCTTCTCCTTCCTCCATCTTTCTCCAACCCAAAGACGGGTAATGGAGGATTCTCAGCTTCCTTGGCCTCACACAAACAACCAGAAGTGTTAACAAGCCTCAAAGTCATCCTAATAATGACAAGGGTGACCTCACTTTACACCAGCATCAGACTTCACAGTGTTATAAAATGTGGCTACAACTCTCCACTGTATTTAATTCTCATGATAAGCCTATGAGTTAGGCATTATTAATATCATTGCTGTTGTCACCATTCTCATTGTATAGTTGAGGAATCCAAGGCTCAGGGAGGGTCAATGACTTTTCCAAGAGGTGCAGGGCAGCCAGGACTCCAGAGGCCTCTGTCTCCAGGGAAGCTCCCCTAAAGTGTTGCATTCCCAGGCTCTCCCAGACTCTCCGCCCTGCCCTGTGCTGGCAAACTGTCTCTCAAGGAGGCAGGGGCCTTGCTGCTGCCAGGAGCTGGAGGAGCCGGTCCCAGACCTGTCTGCAGCAGGACCTGGCACTCCTGGAGCCCACATGGAGGCTGGTGTGTGCTTGGATGCGGCCCCTCCTCCCCTCCCGGTCTCCATTGCTTACTCCCCAAGTCCATGTAAATAGCCTCTCTCCGTGGGGAGCTCACCTCTGGGATGCATGCCTTGCTTTAGTCTGGACTGAGGGATCGACATGGTGGGGTCTGGTGTTCAAGGCTGTTGTGCCATCCAGACACAGGACCATCCCCTCTGCAAGGCCCTGGTCCCTGAACAAGTGTGACTGCAAGGCTGGAGACCAAGAGGTCCCAGGCCTGGTCATGGGCCTGCAAAGGGAGGTGTACCACCCACCCCACGCCCACCCCACCCAGCCATCTCAACAGGCCAGTGCAGGGCAGGCTCAAGGCTGGAGCAGCTCCGAGCAGATGAGCCACTTCCCTCCTCCACAAAGCCATTCCCCACTTGCTGCCGCTGCTTTGTGTGACAGATCCAGCCCTGGGGGGGCCGTCCAGGGTGGGAGCAATGTGCCCCAGATGAGCAATGACTGACCTTGCAGGGAGGGGACGGATGGTTGTGGTGGTGTCCCCTCCCTAGGGAGGATGCTAGACTGGGGAAGATGTCCCCACCTCAAGGCTGTCTTAAGGGAGGGACTCAGCACAGAGTGCACGGCAGCCCCGGTTCTGAGACTGCTGGGCTGTGCAGCCTTGGGCGAGACCCTCAACATCTCTGGGTCTCAGATGACAGGGTGAAGCTGGCTGTTGGGCCTCTTCTGGCCCCCACCCCCCGAGGGCCTCTGACTCACCACATTCAGGTGGAAGCTCTCTTCCACCCAGGCCTTGGCCTCCTGGAACTCCTCTTTCAGCTCCATGAGGTAGAGGGTGTCGAGGGAGTCAATGACCGTCGCCCCACTGAGGCCTCCTGCAGGCACAGAGCATGGAGGGTGTGACCCAGGGCCATCCTTCTCTTTTCCCCAACTGGAAAAGCCACTGTTCCCAGGGCCCCTCCAATGCCAGCGCAGGCTCGGCAGCAAAGGCTGACCTCAGGCACCATCCAGGCGGACTCCAGTGCCACCATCGAAGCTGAGGCTGAGACCCAGAGTCCCCACCATGGGCTGCTTCCTCCTCAGGGCAGAAAAGAGCGGCCAGAAACCAAGGGCTCAGGCTGTGCCACTTCCCAGACCTCGGTCCACTCTTCTATTGGTCAGCGCGTCAACTATCAGTGCCAGTCAGCCACCCACTTTTCTCTACTTTGGCATACAAAACTCTTTTTTTTTTTTTTTTTGAGACAGGGTCTCACTCTGTCCCCCAAGCTGGAGTACAGTGGTGTGATCTCGGCTCACTGTAACCCCCGCCTCCCAGGTTCAAGCGATTCTCCAACCTCAGCCTCCCGAGTAGCTGGGACCACAGGTGCTCACCACCACGCCCAACTAAATTTTGTATTTTTAGTAGAGACGAGGTTTTGCCATGTTGGCCAGGCTGGTCTGGAACTCCTGGCCTCAAGTGATCCACCCACTTCGGCCTCACAAAGTGCTGGATTACAGGCGTGAGCCACCACACCCAGCCTGGCATACAAAAATCTTTTTTTTTTTTTTTTGAGACAGAGTCTCATTCTGTCACCTAGACCAGAGTATAATGGTGCTATCTCAGCTCACTGCAACCTGCAACCTTCACCTCCTGGATTCAAGTGATTCTCGTGCCTCAGCCTCCCAGGTAGCTGGGATTACAGACACATGCCACCACACCCAGCTAATTTTTGTATTTTTAGTAGAAACAGGGTTTCACCATGTTGGCCAAGGCTGGTCTCGAATGCCTGGCCTCAAGTGATCTGCCCACTTCAGCCTCCCAAAGTGCTGGAATTACAGGCATGAGCCACCGCATCTGGCCCAAAAATCATAACCGTGCCAATCCTCTGTCTCTTCAAGATTAGTTGTAGCTAATAGAGGGTGAACTGAGGCTCAAATAGAAAATAGGATACCATACAGTCATCCACAGAGGTGGGGTCGACCTGTGCCTATTTACCTGGGGAGACATCCATGGGATCTGTGTTTTTCTTTTCTTTTTTTAAAGTAAATTGCAAAGAAGAAAAAAAATAATACAATTCTTATTGTACATCAAAGTATAAGTGTACAGAACTAAGTCTGGATAGAATGACCCAGTGGCTACCTCTGAGTGCCAGGATTACAAGTGATTTTTGATTTTTTCAGCTCATGGGTTACTTTTTTATAACCAGAAACTTATTTCCATTAAAAAAAAAAAAAAAAGGAAAGAAAATTTGGGCAAAGAAACCAAACAAATGCACAAAGCAAAAATTTGTGGCCATTCTCATTCTAGTGCATGAACGAACTACGAGGCCTGGCCCCTACCACTGGGCATCAGGCACCTGTCCTGGGAGTAAAGGCTGACATAAGTGCAAAATGATAGTTTTCCATCCCATGAACCAGACAGAAAAGTAATGAGGAAGACACCCTCGGGCACAACCAGAGCCTTCTGCACTCAGTGCAGGAAACTGAAGGTGAAGGGGAGGGAGAAAGAGACATGCCTGGTACTATCTGAAGGGCTTCCTGAAAGAGGTGGCGTCTCCCATCAACTCCTTACAACTATGGAGTCATTGCAGGCAGCAGCAATTTCCTTTAGGGACCAGAGTGCAACCCTAACAGGAGTGATTGTTCCTTCAGTGTCCTCCCTGCAGAGGCTGAAAACATTGAAAGTCACAGGCTCCACCTTCCGCAGTGGAAACTCTGGAGCCTGTTGAGCCCACTTGAGTCTGCAGTGTGTGCTTTGCGGCACCTCCTGAATTCAGAGTCAGCCTCTAATCTCCTTAATGAGGGCTTCCTAACTGCTCACTTGTGTTGACTGAGGAAGAGAATCCTGAAATTCACACACTTAACCACCTCTCTAGGCCAGGCAAGGTCTGAAAAAGCACACGGCCGGGAAAAAGAAAGGAAGTGAGAGTGAGAGGGAGGGAGCAGTTAGGAGGAAGATGAGGCTGGAGGTGGAAGAATCTATTACCAGAAGGGAGGGCTCGCCAAGGAGGGAGCAGAGGGCTGGAGGGATCCAGCCCTGTGTCCTGGGATGGGCTGGAGGTCGGAGAATCTATTACCAGAAGGGAGTTTGCCAAGGAGGGAGGAGAAGGCTGGAGGGACTCAGCACTGCATCCTGGGATGGCTTCCCTGTTTGGGCTGAAGTGAATTTCCAGAATGTCAGCCCCTCCCACGCTTAAGGAGTGGTAGGAAAACACATCCCAAAGCCAAACAGACTTGATCCTTTGCTGGTTCATCCCAGCTGCTTCCCCTGTAGGTGGCAGGGCTGAACGGAGTTCCTGGGCCTTATTCACCCTCTCGAGGTGCTCAAGCAGGGAGGCACTGAGGAGCCCAGGCGGACTGAGCAAGGCACACAGGGTGCAGGCCTGGTGTCCGCGCTCCTGGCTGCAGCTCAGGCCCCTTCCTGTTCTATCACGGGACCTCAAACCAGACGTTTGAAGGGCCTGGAGGAATTTGGGGGATCCTGCTGCCCCTACCCCTTCATTGTCATAGATGAAGACCCCAGAGAGGGGATGGGACACACTCAAGTCTAGACCAAGGGGGGACTGGCCTGGCCCCAGGCCAAGTGGAATGTTTTCCACACATGGGGCATGGCAGGGTCGCTCAGTTCTCTGTGAAAACAGTTGCAGATCTGATTACCCACCCCACCCCACCCACTCGGATCAGTTACGGATCAAGAGAGGCCCAGGCCGTGTGTCCTTCAAGGCCAGGGGACAGGCAGCCGCAGGGTCTGATTTCTGAATCCTGCCCTGGGCTCCCTGGTGTTTTCACCCCATGCGCCCTTCTTCCTCTAGATCAGGCTGGGAGGGCAGCCAGGGCTCCTCGTGACCAGCTCTGCCCTGTGACGTCCCTGGGGACGCTCTATGCGGCCAGCTGAGAAAGCAGCTTGCTAAGAGATTTGTTGGCAAGTTCCTGCCCCTGCTCTCAGGCTCCTGAATCCTTCTCTTGGTTGGTCTCCCACCCCCATTCCCACCTGGCACATGGCTGAGCTGCAGTCCAGCAAGGCACTTACTGGAAAGCCTTTCATTCCAGGCCAGAGGTTACCCAGCGGTCAGGCTGGGCAGGAGAGAAGGCCCTATCCTGAATTCAACCCTATTTGCACCTGCAGCCACCCTGGGGCAGCTCCCCAGGAGGAAAGACACACTCCCTGTTCAGTAAACAGACCATGATTTATATACAAAGAGCCAGCTTGGACGCTTCCCTAGGGCTGCGGCTGGGGCGGGCTCCATGTTGGTCCACTTTCCTGTTCCAGTTCTGAAGCCATGGGTTCACCCCTTCCTGCCAGTGCAGAAGGCAGTGAGGTGTCTTAGAAATAATACAGACCCAGGAATCAGCAGCCCGGCGTTCAAATCCCGTTATGGGCAACACATCTGCTCTAAGCATCAAAGTTCTCATCTGTGAAATGAGGTTAAGACCACTGGACCAGGGCACTGGGGAGCCACTGCAGGTTCCTGAGACAGGATAAATACATCATATACACACCTGGCCTAGATACATCTGATAAATACATTCTATATGCTTGGCACAGACTAAGTGCTTGATAAATCAGTTCATTGGTCTTATTTCTGGGGTCCCTTAGTTCACTTTGAAATAGCAGCCTGGCCAGGGAGTGAGGAAGGGCAACGAGGTCGGGGAGACCCTCTTGATCCTTTCCTTTGGGAGGGTTCGGACCTTTGGCTACTGAATAAAGCCTCTGCAAGGCAACCTCACACATAGCTAAGAGGCTGCCTTTGGTGTCAGGGAGATGCATGTTCAAATCCTGGCCTCTTACACCCTAGCCGTGCAATAGTGCAAGCCATTCTACCTCTTGTGCCTCATTTCCCTCATCTGCAAAATGGGGATGACACTAGACCTGCCCCATAAGGCTGCTGGGAGGGTTAAATGGGACAGGTTGATGGACAGGGGCTGGCATGATAGTGAGTACACGCGGCCCTCCTTGCCCCCACTGGCCCTGGGCAGCCTCTCCACAAAAATCTTCCTGGGTCAGTGAGGCCTTGGGTTGCAACTGCATTCTCGGCCCTCTCCCTCACCCCTGCAGGGCAATGTGAGTATGAGATTGCAGCCTGCAAAAATCCTTGGCCCAACTTAAAGGAAAACCGCCCCATAGGTCCCATATGTATCTGCTGCCGAGGCCATCACTACCTGATCTCGTTGTGTAGCTGCCTCCAAAAGGGTGCTCCTACCTTCAAGACCCCTTCCCTTTACCTCTTATCCACCCTAGATCCAGATCCAACTTGGGTCTCTCCCCCAGCTCAGGAACCGCCAATGGCTCCCCAGTGCCCATGCAGGAAGGGGTGCAAGCTCCTGCTTCCACACCTTTGCATGTGTGGTCTTCTCTGCCAAGAAATCTTCTCTGTGCATCTTGGCATGTTCAACACCAACATGTTCTTCAAGGTCTGCCTCCCAGGGGCAGCCTGACCTGGTTCCACTAGCTAACCTCTCCTTGCCCTGAGAGTGCCCACAGCACTTTCTTGGACACCCGCCACCATCTCCCTGCACTGTGGGGCTTTGCCTCCCTAACTAGACTGTGAGCTTCTTGAGGTCAAGGGCTCCCACTGCCTTTCTCATACCCCTCCCCACCTTCCAGCCTTGTCTCCAAGCATCCCAAAGGTCAGAACCCCAAACCCAAATGGGCTACTTGCCATTTCCTGCAGCCTCTTCACACACCGCTATTTTTATGACTTTTCTACAAACTCTGCCAGGAACGGCCTTTCCCCATCCCACCTTCTCCTGTGGAAATCTAGGGCCCACTGCAAATGGCTCATTACCCACAAAGCCATGCATGTGATCTCACCTTCTGACGTCCGGCTTAGAGCCCTTTCTCTATGAGAGGATCTTCTCCAGCCCCCCATGTCTACATTCTAGGCCCCTACACTGT